CTGCTCCGAAACCACGTTAATGTAACTTAGGCGTGTTGTTCTAACAGACTTATAAACTATCCAGAACTAGTGCAACTAGAGTCTTATCTTTTGCAAGATCCTATCGATATAAGGATGCTCGTGCTGCGTATACTTGTCTTTTGTATTATACCTTATTCGCAGCAATAGTCTTGTAGTAAATATAAAGTACTGTAACTCTGTTGATGATTGCACGGTTGTGTTTTGTCTGTAAACATCTTATGTTCAAATCTAATGTCTTTAAGTTTCAGTATGATTCCGACATTATCATACGACTTGATTCAATTTGATCCTTACAAAAACAGCTTCATACGTACATCTCTTTATCAGTAAACATCTTTTTAGCGAAACCGTCATTTCAGAACACCGAAGTACTCATGCCTGGAGTACCCCATAGTTCTTTTCTTTTTCGAAGAAATCCCTGAAGTACCACTCGTGCAGTACGTCAAGTTCAATCCAAGGATTCATACGGTTGATCTATCACTGAGGAATGTATACATAAGGGTAATATATAATCAAGGTTCTACAGGTTTAGAAATGATGATTCCACTTTAACTTCTTTTTCCTTGATGGGATGTGAGCTTAAAGAAGAATTAGTTATTCGACTACCTTTTCAATCTTAATTATATACGACTCATATACACTAGATTGTGGTTGTGAAACCATGTATGAATTCTAATATGAACTTCAGGACGGAGAACTACCAAAGCTTACGAGTAATCGCATCGTAATGTGAACAAATTTAGAACCCAGTAAGACTTCAGTAAATAGATTGACCTTCAGTCTAAACAGCTACGGAGATATAAGAACAGTTCGGACAACTTAGCGAACTACACAAAAATAGAATTAGAAGACTAGGTTTCTCACCCTAGAGAGCTCCAGTCTTATTCTTCCAGAGGTCAATGGATTGCATCATATGTACCTTGGCTATCGAGGACTCCGTCCAAAAATTTTTTTCCATTAGAAATCGTTGCCCCTGTCTTGCATAGATGAATTGGTTGAGCAAACACAAGGAAAGAATTACTTTCAAAAATGGACCTGAGATCCGAATATCACCATTTTGAGTGTGAGGGAAGGATGTCCGAAAGACTACCTTCTGAACTCGATGAGGACACTTCAAGTCCATAGTGATACCCCTCAGATAAGACCAATACGCCTGAAGCATTCATGAGTTTAATGAATAGATTCCGTCTTTCTTACTTGGATCAGTTCGTCATTCTCCATGTAACGACTTACTTATCTGCCCTCGTAGTAAGAAGGAACCCGCGGAAACATTACCCTCGGAGATACTTTTCGCAAAGTTCTCTGAACACGAGTTTTGGAATCGAAGAGTCAAAATTTCCTAAGACACACTATAAGTGATGTGGAAATTATTGAGTCCTCTGTCAATTTATCAAAACCGTTTAGAATTTAACGACACCAGAGACGCCGATAGGAATTCGCCAAATTCTAGGTCTTACAGACCTACTGTCATAGTTCATCCAAAACTCTTCGCAAGTTACAGAAACCTTTACGACTTTGACCCAGCAGGGGGTGGCCCTTGACTGGGAAGATAAACAAGAAAAAGAAACCTTGGAGATTCAAAGTGAGAGACCAAGTTCTTTAGGAAAACTCACTCTGGGAATGCTTAATGCGCTTCGTAAAGCATGGCAAGCTAAATCCAAGATAGTCAGGACTTCCTAGATTCTTACCAGAATCACTCCTATATCTCACAGACTAAACCTACTCCGCGAACTCAGTAACGTACATCTTACCCTTCGCGTCTCGATCTTGAAACCGTACCTTTTCATTAGGACTCTCGTTAGTCCACTCGACGAGATCGAATTAACGAGACCCTCGCCTTCGTATTAGAACCGTAGTGACCCTCGACCGAGTGGTCAAGCGGACGAAGCAACGTCGCCTCCCTATAGTGAAGGTTCATTGGGATACCAACCGAGGACCCGATTTCACTTAGAAGCGCGAGAACCAATAGATTAGGAAGTTTCCCACTTCTCGACTCGATCATTCGTTCCTACTTCCTTACCTAAATTCTAATTTCGGGACAAAATTCTCATTAACAAGGGGATGATGTGACAACCCAGAATCTTCATTCGGTCAAACCCTAAAAGTCAATCACTTTATATTATAAGTCAAGTTCACTATTACTTGTTTTTGGGAAAAATAAGTTCATTTGATTATTTTAATAATTAATCTTTAAGCGAACGGGGGAAAGAAAGTGTCGTCTTGGGTTTTGAAATCTAAAAACCGCAAACACCCCGTGTCTTAGAAGTTCACGACCAAACTTTGATGTTTGGGTCGAAAAATCATCCAAAAACGTAAACTCATGCCTTAACCATGAGTTTACTCCCCAAAAACTAGTCATTTTGTGTTTACTCCCCAAATACCAAAAGAGTAAACTCCAAAATATCCTCTTAAGTATCATCCAAGTTTTTATTCAAAATCTTCAATCTATATTTCCAAAACACCATGCCAAGAACACACACTAGTGTTCTTGGACTTAAAGTTCATTTCAAGCTTCCACAATGATCTTTGTGCGTGTCTAAGTCTTCAGTTGACACCACGCACTTATCCGACACTTCCTTCCGATCCATTGGCATCATGTGAGTTCATACCCCTTAATCAATGTTTTAAATGTTTTTAAATGCTTTTATGGGGGGGGGGGGATACAAGTAGAATCATGCTAGTTATTATATCAATCATATGTGATTAATAAGCAGCATTCAAATGATTTGCTACTCATTAGCCGTTTTACCAAACAGTTTCCTTCAAATGATTTTTCATAAACATTTCATATGTTTAAAACTCCTTATTTAAAACTGTTCATTTTACACTATATGTTTCATTTCAAACTCATTTACAATTGTGTTTCAAACAAATGTTCCTTTATACTTAAACTGTTTTATCAAACCCATGCTTTCAAACCGTTTTAATGATTGACATCAAGTCGATCTTTTCTTAGATAATAATTATGTTTTAAAGGTTTTACAAAACTTATTTTATGCTTTTATATTATCAGTTGCATGCCTATATATGTATAGTTATATAAGAAATGTTTAAAATACTTAGGAAGGCTATCCACCCTATTTCCTCTTCGCGCTTGAGATGTGGTCTGGTGGGATATCGGGTACCCGTCCGAAGGTCGTTTAAATATTAGTTATATATCATGTGTACATATATAGTCATATAGGTTCTTCCAGTTCATTCAGTACCCTTGGGTAGAAAGGGTATACTTCCATGTTCATATGTACCAGTTACATTACTAGTAAGCTACCATATGGGTAGTTTAGGAAGATACTAGAACGCGATATCATACAACGAGTCAGTTCATTCATGAGTCTATACATGCTAGATAGATAGAACACTCATTACAGCTAGTACACACAGTCCATTACTATACATGCTAGATAGAAAGAACATACATTACAGCTAGTACACACAGTACATTACTATACATGCTAGATAGAGAGAACGTACATTACAGCTAGCACACGCAGAACACTTTAGTACATGCAGGCTAGACAGATAGAGAACACACAATACAGCTAGCACATACATTACATATACATTACATTCAGATTTGTGAGCCATTAGACGGGTCATGGCACTACCTGCCATGACCGTTTTTGTATCCAAAATCTCCTTACTTGGGGAGCGTATGAATTTGCGTATAGATCTATACTGGATTGATTATCCTACACCTTGCTGCTCACTACAGTGTGACTTGCAAGTCTACAGGTGCCAAATGTCATTTCTTACGGCGTCTTACATCGTCATTTTACTATAGTCGGTAGCAGGATACAGGTCGATCACATGTTACTTTAAATTACATTAGATTTAAGGTAGTTAGTACGATTGTAGTTAGACACCATAGTACTGTTTCATTTTCCTATTACATTCACTTCATGAACATTCACACAACGCACGGTAATGTACAAAACTATATTTTTTGTTAATGATAGTTAGATTTAGGAAAATACACACTCTTACAAGAGCCACACACACAGACACTAGATGCCTTGGTAGAAGGATACGGTTAGTAGGAAACATAGGGCTTCCTAGGATCATACAAAACATTTTCAATACTTACAGTTCATATAAATACAAATACTTACATACAAATTAGGACACTAAACTACTTATCATCTCACCATCTTTAAAGTTGATACTCTCTTTCAAAATAACTTGTATCCTCAGGTCAACCATATACAGGTACCGATGCAAGGTTCAGAGAAGATAGTGCTCGTTCAAGACTCTTCTTTCATTTTGTTTTATACTTTAGTGTTTATTATAATTTGACAGAACAAACTTGTATTAAAATTATATTATTAATCCAATGGATGATGTTGTTGCTTGTTTACTACTTTTCATTGTTGTGATACTGTACATGACGTCCTCCACCCCAGAACGTTTCTGTCGTTCTTGGTTTTGGGGTGTGACAAATATTGACATGATTTAAGTGTGGGTGTGTAGGATGGGTCCCCCTCTATACATCATTAATATTATGTACTTTTTGTAAATATTAGCGTCTTGTGGTTATGAGTTCAAGTTGTTATTCTTGATAAGGAAATAGATGGCTAAAGTTGGTATTATTTAGGAAAAAGTGGTTGTATGTGCATTTTGTGTAAAAGAAATATATCCTGTCAAATCTAACAAAGCAACATAGATTGTAATTTGAACAACAGCAGAAGAAAATGTTTTCTCTTTCTGAGGGTGTGGATGCGTTGGAATAGTTAAATATTTATAGAAATTCTTTTTACATATTGGTCAAAGATTTATAGGAACTGGTTATTTTAGTTGGGTCCACAATTAGGGTCCTATTAGACTGATTTCTATCTATTCACCAAAGCTACGTAGTTAAGCCATTGGTACAAAGTCTTATGTTGTTTACATACAAAAGCACTAAAAGTGTTTGTGGAACATCTGATACTAACTACTAACAAATGGGAGACATTCATCAAAAATAAAATAAGAGGTGATGAGATCTATTTTTTACGGCTTCGCTTTCTGTCTATTGATGGTGTTGGGTCATCTACATGCAACAGAGAGGATGTGTTAGAAAACATAAAGTTGTAATATGTAATAATTTGATTTATGTGTATACCAGTAGTGTTGTATGACAGAGTACATGCGCTGCGTGTGACGGGCATTGTAGAATCAGGTGTGCTTTCTTGCATTGTTAACCTTGTCGTGGGGACCTGTGTTGGAGTTGTTGGGACATTTGTTTGAGATGTAGAATTTGAGCTTTCAATGTCTACAATTATGAAATGTAAATTGTCCCCGGCAGATGCCTTTAGGATCTGAATTGACATGTTTTTTGTTTGCCCTTTCTGCTCAGTAAGAAAAGCTAGAAGTGTTTTCATGTTGACGGTGTTGTTGTTTGCTATAAGATCTTGAAGGGTAAACTTGAGCAGTTTCTGACATGAGGTGTTGGATATGATTGTTGATATTGTGTCCGTTGCATCACTTACTGTTAGGCTGAATTTATGTCTGCTCTTAAAATAAATTTGTTAGCTTATAGCATACAGGATAAATAGTTGTAATGTAGATTGAAGTGTACTTACGAAAATTTTGGGTTTTCAGTGAGAGAATGTGCACTGTATTACCATTGTGGGCCACGTTTATGAATGGAATCTCTACAAGTGGGACATAGAACCTGATACAGTTTGTCTTGAAACTGAATATCCATGATTGATGCTTTGATCAAAAAAGTTTTATCCTGTAAACAGATGGTTGTACTGTTAGGGTATTGATTCTTATCTATATTATTGAATGAAATTAGATAAGAAGATATCATGTAACATGACCAGTAAGTATGATCTTTTTCTTGTTTTCATATCCTGGAATGTAATTGGTATTCCAGACGGAATAGAAATTGGTCTTTGTGGTCCACGGAAACTGAAACCAGAGAGTCATTTTGTTAACAATATTTTTATTGAACAAATATGATGTTTACAGATGAGAAATTTGTTGTACATATCAAGAAGTGCTGATGTTTCTAGTATTTCTGGATTTATATGTACATGGGTGGCAGGGGATGATCCATGGCACAATGTTCCTAGGATTAAAAAGAGGATTATATTCACTAATAACAATTATTATGGTATAGCAGTGATTTTTTTGGTAACTTTCAGATTGGAAGTGCCATACCTGCAGAAGTGGAAGCCTTTAGGTTTGTAACAGCAACAACTGTAATGGTAGGCAACAAGATGAGTAGATCGCGGTTGAATTTTTTTGGGAATGTGATGCATTCATTCCATAGGTTTATTGGAAGTTCATTACCACTAGACGTTTAATGTATCATGTTATTAGCTAATGGAAGTGTAATCTGTACTTAATATATGTTCCATGATATTGCAGTTACCTCTTGTCTATTAGCATGAGGAAAACATATGGCTCATGATTTGCTTTTTTGCAGTCTTTGATTTTTGATAGAACACCAATAAAATCTAAAAAACAATCAATGTTATTACATGAGTAATGTATATAATATAGAATGAAGGACAGATCTGTATACCTAGATAATAAGGTGGTTTTTCTCCAAGTTCCATGAGATGCGATTTTGTGACAAAGCGGAACCAGTGTTTCGGTATTGTCATTGTATCTGGAAGTGATTTGATTACTGAAATGAGACCAACCTCAATGTAGAAATCATTCTCTAATACCTTATGGTGCCTATCAAGTTCTGGACAGCTGTATTCGGAGATCGTGTAGCAATCGAATAATTTGAATATTGATTCAATATAAGCCTAACTAGTACGTTGTCCAAGAATCTGTATTGCATCTCCCTATAGAATTTATTAAGTATTAAAGTATAACGATAATAATTTTTTATTGTATATTCATGTTTTCTGTATATATTTTATACACTTACAAATCTATCAACACCTAAGTACCATGTCTCATATCGACGGACATCGTTCTTCCATTTGCGGATGATTCTCAGTTGTAAAGGAGCTCCAACACCTTCGCACTTCAGATCGGATATACAAGTCATGATTGTTATGTCTTCACTGTTAGGTAAACAGACATTAATCGAGGTAAAAGTGTTAGTTGTTACATATAGCATGCATTGAGACTTGTTTGGAAAATAATCACAGCTATGTAACCAATAGTGATATGAAAGTTAAATTTTAAGGTATTATGGGTATTTTGGACCTGTTTGTGGAATACATTGCGTAGCAGATCTTTGTACACAATGTTTTTTTGTTTCTGTGGGTATGAAATGGTCTTTTTTTCTATAATAATTTTTATGGATGCAGGTGATGTTGCTCTGGAGAAAGCTACACACAACTGTCCATGTGCAAAAATTGATTGAGATAGATAAACACCAATTATTTTTAATGATTGTCCCTGGCTTTTATTGATTGTTATTGCATAACAGATCTTGACTGGAAACTGTTTTCTTGAAAAACTGAATGGCAAATCAGATGGCATGTGTATCAATTTTATGCGCGAAATGTATACAGGTCTTCCAATATAAGTTCTTGTCATTATGGTAGCTTCGATTTTAGTTGGGAGAAGCTGTGAAACAATCAATTGAGTACCATTACATAATCCTTCCTTTTGGTTCAGGTTTCTCAATAACATAATCGGTGTTCCTTGTTTCAAGTGAAGTACATGAGGTGGGATTCCTGGAAATATTAATTCATTTAGGTACTCTATAGGATATAGTCCTTCTAGATTAGTTGTGTGTTTTCCATTTGGCTGCATTGAATCTGTGTTATTATATACTCCACCGGAAGCTGTGATAGTTTCTAGGATCATGTTGTTTATCTTATCTGCCACTTCATTTGTTGGACAAACAATTTCCCTTTCTGAAAGATCTTTCGCGGTTGGGTTGGTCAGTATAGAATCTCCATACACAAACTGTATAAGATCTTGTAACAAATTTGGTCCAGGTGGGATCAATAGTCAATCTAGAATTTGAACCCAAGACGTGTTGTCCGGATCATCTATATCAGGACATCCAACCAAACCATCTCCAATGTTAAGAAGCCATGTGCCAAAATCTGTTGTTGATAGTGTATGTGTCTCGGCATCTGTATTTGAAAGCAAACACATATTTTCCGTGAGCATTCTAACTTGAAAAGGAGGCCAAATATATGATTTTGGTAGTGTAAGCGCTATTATCTCAGAACGTGTGCTTCTTTGGACAACAGGAAGTGTTTGTCGAAAGTCACCACCAAGGAGGACAAAAATACCACCAAATGGTTTCTCATTACATTCTAAAACATCTCGTAACGACCTGTCCAGAAATTTAAAACATCTTCTGTCACTCATTGGTGCTTCATCCCATACAATAAGTGATGTATGACACATGAGATCGCCTAACATTGTTCTCTTTTTTATATCACAATATGTTTTGTTTGTGAGATCTATTGGAATCTTAAATCTTGAATGTGCGGTTGCTCTAGATGGAAGTAGTAATGATGCGATTCCAGATGCAGCAATAGCCACAACCACTTTCCCAATTGATCTAAAATAAGAAAGAATCGTACTCCATAGAAAAGTTTTGCATGTACCCCCGTGACCATAGACAAACATCAAAACTTGTTTCTTATCTTTAATGGACCCAACAATTGTTTGATAAATTGACATCTATTGTGAATTTAATCGTGGCAGAAATTGAGCAACCACTTTTTGTAGTTCTTATCTATTGTAAGTCATTTCTTCAACTAACAACCGATTATCAATCACAGCAAGGATATTAGATGATGGAATCGATAAATCAAAATCATGTAATGATCTTGAAGGGACAGAAGAACGAAGCGTATCCTTTAAACTGTGCAGCAACTGATGTGTTATAAGATTATCTTTGAAAGACAAAGACCTATCCGTTATTTTGGTTTTCATCGTATACAGATAATCATCACAAATCTTTTCATGTGTGACTCCCTATAAGAGGCGTGGATTACTTACTTCACAAAAAAGCAGCAAGTGACAAAAAAGGGATCGCAGTTGTGCTGAGGTCGCCCAGACAGAAGCTTCAATGAATGCGTTCATCCACTCGATATCATCTCCAATTATTCATAATGCATTGCTGGCACTTCTGTAGGTTGGATGGACAATGTTGGAAATGGTACGGAGATCTTCAAATGATTTGCAACCCTTCTGATGAGAGAGCAACATTCTGAGATAAAACAATTTGCCAGATGATGGATGAACAAAGACCACCCGGCCAACCATTTTTGATGAGTCATCAGTCCTACGTATCCATGATTTAGAAGGAGCATCCCATTTGTAGTACTTTGGATAGTCAAGATATGTGACATCATGACCAGATGCATCTATTGCATTGCTCTGAAACCATGCAAGAAGGGTTGTTCTAGAAGCATTTGGGTTGGACAAAACTTCTTGTATTGTGCTCTCTTTGTTAAACACAATATGTTGTGTGTTTTCTGTATGAACAGGTGGGTGGCGGTGATGTATATGAAAATAAAGAATACACCATGCCGCCTCATGTGGACAGATGTATCCATCTATGAAATTTTGAATTTCATTTACGAAAGAAGAGTGTTTTTCTTTTCCATCCAGCTTATTATTTGTGACAACACTTGGACCACCTCTATCTGTTGTTTTCATTTTTTTCTAGTGCATATCTAACACGATCTGCTCCTTTAGAAATGTATTTGAAGAGATAATTTATCATCATGTTCCATCCACATTACTCAACGTTAATATGCACATCAAACCGAGAACATAACCTTCTGTTATAGGGTACAATATACCCATTATCTATGGGAATCCCACGTGGTGTTATGTGTTTTCTTGCTGAAGAACGTTTGTAACATACATAACCATCAGTATCAAAGAATGTAGATTCGAGAAATGGCTTTGGAAAATGTTTCTTATATTTTCCATCCAACATACATGGATCTTTATCATTTAGCGGACCACATGGACCATGAATCATGCACGCAGTAACTGTTCTATACAGTGCTGGTTCCACAAACTGATCTGGCAGTTCAGCAGTTATATATGTATCTACATCTTCAGCATTCCGTATCTTAGATGAACTATTTACCCATAGCAACGTATGACAATGTGGAAGACCTCTCTTTTGAAACTCTATTGTATAAAAATCTGTGAGGATAAGTAAATGTGTTGAATAAAAAGAAATGTACTTTGTTTTATGGTAGTGATATGTAAGTGAAATTTAGGATGTACGAAATACAGGAAGATGCAAGATAAGAAAAAAAATGTAATTTAATATGGATGGAAAAACAGAACTGTAAGAATTTCAGATGACAAATGGAAGGATACAATCGTGACATTGTTACATGATATATGCATAGAAACATTTAAAGACTGAAAAACTCCCCTATAAAAATAGTAAACCATTGAAATGAAAACAGATGGTATCCTACGAAAATAGGTGGTGACAACAGTTGGACCAAACAGACCCTGCATAGCGAGTGTATCGTTAAAAATTTAAAACTTAAGATTTTTGGATGAAGATTCCCCTACATAATCTTTGTAAAGAAAGAAAACTGATTTTAAGAATTTTGTACCAAATTCTCCCTACATGCTACCTTTATAGGTGTAAAAGAAGTTATGTTAACAATTTTGGACTAAAACGCCCCTACATAACGTTTGTATACATAACAAAATTTCAACATAACAGTTTTCAATGAACAAACACTTGCATACACTTATATTTGTCTCATTTAGGTGTCAGAATAAAGAGTAAACATACAGCCAAATAAGCATGAAAATCAAACAACTTATAACATATTTCCATAAAAAAAATAACCTCAATTATATTTGTCTCATTCAGGTGACAAAATACACAGTAAACACACTGCAAAATAATCATCAAAATCAAACACCTTATAAGATATTTGAATAAAAAATATTCTGAATTAAAAGAACATTTCAACTCATAGAGAAACAAAATAACATACACGCATCAACATCACCAAAGGTCTTGTCTCGTTTCAAGAAGTCGATAAAAGCATGAACCTTCAGTTTAAAAACTCTTGCAATGATATCTGCCCTGCTATTCGGATCCTTCTCGTGATATCTATCCATGTACCGGCGTATCTCAGGCCATTTTACATTGCATGTGAAAGTTATGAAATATTGTGGGTTACCATAAACTCTACATATAGCGAGTGCGTCCTGAAAGTGGCTATACATGTACCGGGGGCCTCCTGTAAAAGATGTTGGCAAAAAACTCGTTTGCCTACAAACCGACTATCCCTATCCCCCTTTGAAAGTGCATCATACAACCCACTACCATACTGAGAACGAAGATTTTCTTGATGTTTAGCAATGTAGTCCAACCGTGCAGCCTCAATACAGGTATATGCATCCACGAGATATTGTTGAAAGAGGCGAGAGGCACTTAAAAATGGAGACCATATTCCTTGCCGAGCATGGATCTGATATGCATAATACATGTTAACCGTAAGACTCCGAGCATGGATACCAATCTCATTTTTCAATTTCAACCGTGGAGACCAACTATCTTCACCATACGGGAACAAAATCGGATATTGCAGGGGCATGTAACAGGGATGAAGCTTGCTAATACGCTATGGCAGACCAGAATTAGAATGGACCACAATATCATAGGCAGTACAGTTACTGTCATCACCACTAACAATGCAGCCAAACGATCTTGGTGAAAGGAGATCATACCTACGATCCGAAACATTGCTGAACAAACGAACCGAATAAGAGGCTATATTTTGTTGGTCTGCAACATCCTTTGCAGTCTTGAATGTTCGTACATATTCATTGTTCTTAGAAAAAAAACTAACTAGAAAGAAGACTATGCTCTCATCCAGATTTGGTTTTCTTGGACCATCAAAAACCCTCAACCTATTATCGACTTCATTTTCTATGTCAAATAAGTAAAGTTGAAGAAATCGTGGTCCTTTCTGAGGGTTGGGACAAAGGGAACCAATTTTGTGACTAATTTGTCTAGAAATCTTAAACACAAAAGGCCCTCGACCATCATTGACATCATCATCAACATCTGCTCCAAAA